CACAAAATGGTCTGACCAAAGCGTCATCGTATCCAAGTGAAGATTCAAAAAAAAGTGTCTAAAAAAATTTCAAATACAGAACTCAGAATACTCACGTTCAAATAGAAGCCAGGCCCTCGTATTTAGGATATAATCCTTCCTGATGCCCTACACCCCAAGACCTGTGCATAGCGTCCGCTTCCCAGCATGTTCAGAAGAGCTCGAAAGAAAGAGAGAAAGAGCAGAAAGAGCAAAGAAGAGCAAGAGAAAAAAGAGAAAGAGCATGCGATGAATAATTAGCATTCTTGGTTGAGAAAAAATGTATAAACTGTCTTATAGCGTTTAGAACAGAACCAACATGCATTAGGCGATTTTAGTGACTTGTTCGCACAATGTGTTTGGAATCACGAGCTCCCAATGATAGATCCAGAAAGGGCGACTGCATAATTTCAACGAGAAATCCATATGATCAAAAGCACGACCTGACCAACTGCAGCTACCGTGGACAGATGCCAACATGGAAATCTTGCGTGGATGCCTCGCTTTCGTGCAAGGTGATGGCACCGTTTGCTTTTCTTCGAAGTTGCCTTAGCATGTCTTTCTAAAATACCGCAAAAAGCCGTCATAAGACACAGAATTTTGATGCAACGCGCTTTCAAAAGTATTCACTGCAGATTCAATGATAGTTTGATGCTTTCTGCAGAAAGGTGACATTGATTGTTCGAGAAAATGTTTCAATTATTCTGGATTTTTTGGGCAAACAACCACTATTGTAGAAGAACCTCGAAAACATGTAAATCCCAATTTTGGCTGTGCTAAGATCATGACAACTACTGGACTTTGATTTGGAGCTTTTTTCAGTCCCCGTTTCAGCAGCTGCAGAGGTGGTTTCCATTTGAAGAAGACTCAGTAAAGAAAAATTTAGCTACATTCGTGCAATCACAGCAACTACGCGTTCCCTTTACGCGTGGTTTTGCTGACTTTACCAAGTCGATAGCTTTTGAAGGACAAGCGCGAATGAAAAAAAGCAAAAGAAGACCTTTGGGAAATATAAACACTAGAAATTGTAAGAACAAAGAACATAATGGTAAAGCATACCTTGAGTGAAATTCCGGGATATCCGCGGCGCACAGACTCTTGATTTGCTTTCGTGCAGCAACACATCGGGTTGTTGGGATTTAGTTGAACCTAGCGAGTGTATATGAACTCATGAAGTCTGGAAAGGTCTTTATCTTGTTTCAGCGAATCTCTGTGACCATATAGAGATCCGTATTAACAAGACAAAATTTTTGGAAATAGTAATGGAAAGATCAATGAGTTTGAACATGTAATGACCGAGGTATAAAGCATGCGGCATCCATCACTTCTTGGCTCATTTTCTTCACATTTAATGACTGAGACCACTATAGAAGGAGAGGAAGAATCAAAAAAGCGAAGAAAAACAGTGTGTTGTGAAATTAGGGAGGAAACAGCTGACAGTAAACGTTAGCGTTGAAGTCGGTGGCTCGGCAAAATCGAACATCTCGAAATTTTTATATGGAAGGTTGCTTGCACCCCAAACACGAGAACGGAACAGCTCCGAGCGCACAACATGCAACCCCTGCCTAGAAAATTGCCCTTAAACCCATGCGAGCAAGCCATTCTTACACGTGCTCGGACGAGTTTGCGATATCCCTCTCACCCGTCAGAGGCGACATGCCTCATGCTATAAACATGAGGGTCCCACAACGACTCTGCGCCCCTAACTATGGCGGGAAGCGTTACACTCGTCCTCAAAACGAGGGGTTTGAGAAATGCTGGTCTTCGCCATTTTCGCGCTCTAAAAAGTGGATTTTCGGAATCAGCGCGTCGAGTTACCCCAGATAAGAAAAACCCAAAGGTCGAGGATTTGCCGAGCCACTGCCTTTAACACTCAAGCGGGACAAGGTCACTATTGCGAAATCACTCGCTGAGTCACTTATTTCATGATCCCTTCGCGACAATCCCGAGAATCTGTCAAAAAATTGTCTCGCGCATGTTTGCGCGCTTTCCTGCGAATCCCTCTAAAAGGGGAAGATCTCGGGCGCGAATCAACAGCGAATGTCTGAGGGTTGTTTCAAACTGCCGCACTGATCGCAGCAGACTGCAGCAGACAGTTGACCGCACTGACCGCAGCTGACACCGCAGCTGACTACGGCAGACTGCAGCAGACTGCAGCTGACCGCATTGACCGCGGGGCCGCACAGATCGCTACGTCCTTTTCTGAAGGTGGAGAGAATAAATGGTTGTAGCTCAAACAGTCTCTCAACAGTATATGCCCTAACAGACAACACGAGCGAGAGTAAAAGTGTTATGCAGTGACAAAAGGAATCTGAACTATGAACATTGTCAAGAAGAACAATCGCCAAAATTTGATTGAGAAAAGTAAGTTAGAACCTATGAACTTTCTAGGCGTAAAATACGATGTTTTGAAGTATTTGCAACTATTTTCTCTTTTACGAAAGGATGCAGCGATCGGTGCGCCCGTTGCAGTCAGTGCGGTCAGCAGCAGTCTGCTGCAGTCTGCTGCAGTCTGCTGCGGTCAGTGCAGTCAGCTGCAGTCTGCTGCAGTCACTGCGGCAGTATGAAACAACCCTGAGGTGTTAGCACAGCTCTCACTCAATGCCGGCCGATCGGGCAACTCTGGAAGGAGTCGAAAGGTTCCGTTGGCTGAGTGGTATGCCTTGTGCCATATTTTTGCAACTATTTGATATTCGCAGGTGATCTCTTGTGCATGTATCGTCCCCTCCACAGCTCGTGCTACCCTTGGTCTGCGTCTCAGACCTGCCACGTGTGGCTAACATGTTGGTAACGTGGCAACGACATGTTTGCAACATGCCACGACATGTTGGCAGAACATTTTGGCCACGCCAACATGTTGCTGCATGTTGCCAAAGTGTTGCTGCCAACGTTGTCATCATGTTAGTTACACGTGGCACGTCGGCACGCCAGAAGGGTAGCAGCGGGACGATACATAACTTGCAAATGTTTGTTTGAGCAAGTATTTGCATTTTCCGCATTTCTGACGCGTTCTCTCCTGTTCCCTAGCCAAAGGTCATCTTCATGTTGGGATCTAGCACAACATAAAAATGGAGCTTAAAGCTAGAAAAATCTTAATCATATCAAATTGGAAAATATTCAATTGTGAACTGTGAGAGCACAAGTCTGTCTGCAAGATATATATTACATGGGAGTACTTGACGTAGTTGTGGAAACGAAACCATGACCGCTTACTGATATACTAACATCGTTGAAGCAAATAACGATTAACATTACGGAAACAAAAAGTGGAAAACGAACTCGATGAGAGATGATCCTATGCTTGAACAAAGAAAAATGCAACGTCTCACAAGGAAATGATACCTGGTCGAAGTGGCGTTGTGTGTCGAGAGATGAGAAGATAGTACACGGATTGGGGAGGCACATTGTTGAGTCATGAGTTAGCGAGCCCCAAGAGCACTTGTGACCGATCTTACCCAGTGGGTCGCGAACCTACAGAACCCACTGGGTTCGTTAATGAATACGGCCACAAAGAAACGTTTTTGCATGCGGTCATTGGATTGAAACGCTCATCGCAAGGAACTAGCTGATTACAAAAACGTCTTCACAGAGAACTGATGTATAAATGTGGAAATGAGGCAAAGAGATATTGTACAAAAGTAGAATGGAGTGATGAGTTTTATTTTGATGTCAGTTTGGCACGGAAACAAAGAAACACCTTCAAATCTCAAATGATTCGCAGTGTAGTGTTATTCAACGGAAACATTTTTTAAAGTGCTATAATGGCTTTTTAGTAAAAGCAGGTATTAAAGATCGAACCAAGAAGAAAAATTTCATAAATTGCTCTTTTTGAGAGCGGAACTTGTGACCCTCAGATCTGTGAAGGCTCACATTTCGCTAATAAAAAAATCAGTTTTGCTTATTTACACTGCGATAAAAACTTTGTGACCGCCAACTTAATTGGGTTGACACACAAGTTGACTGATCTTCTACCGTTTCCTTCTTAATTGTGATGTGTTGACTTTCAGGCTCTATTCTGTTGGGTAGTGAGCTACAAATGTGCGTTACGTAGTGTGCTGGTAGCGAAGTGGAGAAAATCTACACATTTTTCAAGATGATCAAATTCGGAATTCCAAACTTGAAGAATTAAAAATAGAGTCGTTCTCAATCTCTTTAAATCAGACACATCAAGTCGAAATTGTACAGAGATTGTTGAACAGGGAAAACCCTAACGTCTCTACCCCTAAAATTTCGAAATTGATCCGTTTTTAAAGTTTATAAGTTTTCTCCACTTCGCTGTTAACAATCAAACTGCTTGCGCGGTTTGTTTCACTATCTGATCTACATTATGCTTGAGAATGAATAGATATATCAAGGTTAATAAGAGAAGAGTTATGGAATAAGTCGCACAACATATGTGCCAACTCAATGTATTGATGTGCTTACTTAATGTATTAAAAGTGACAGAAGTGGGTATTGATAAGGGAATGGCCAAAAATTGAAGTGGCCAATACAAATACAAAAAGCTGCATACCAATGGATGCAGCATACAACGCTGACCTAAAATCTGTCTTCCTCATCTGCTAGACGCTTTTGTAGACGAAGTTATGAGCAGTTTCAGTTTCAAAAAAAAATCGTACATAAATATTGCGCATTTAAGCACTTTATTGCCCTTTTAGCTCACCCTTAGTTATAGACCATATGTCTTGGCTGCAGGTTTTAGTTCCTAATCGAACATGGCCCTGTACGGCAACGTTTGCGCTCGAACGCACATTTCTAAACTATTTAATGGCTTATAAGGGCTTACAGTTTTCGCCCATAAATGTGTTTAGCAGGTAAGGAAGACAGATTTAGGGTCAGCAATAATATACAGCTTGTTTAGATTGACCACTTCGACTCCTGGCCATTCTCTTTTAAGCTGGGCATGTCAGCTTAGTAACAGCTGATATGATTTTTTGATAAAGTCTATTCCTTGTTTTGACTCTATAACTTTTTGATTTCAGAACGTAAAGCGATTTCGTGAGTTTTTTCAATGTCGTCGCAAAAGGAAGGTTCATCCGATAATACCAAAGAGGACTACAATAAAGGTGCTTACGTTCTGCTATCTCACTATTTCTGGTATAGGTTTGTGCAATTTTGTAGCGATAACGAATAGCACGCACCTAACAAACAACGCAAAACAGTCCTTTCATCAAAGCATAGATTGCAGAAATTTTTCTGAAGATTTAGGTTGCACGAAAAGCCAACACTATAACGGTGGAGGAACCTAGAAGTGTTACATCAAAAACACCAGTACAAAGGTGAGTGACAAACGTATAGTTCATGAACCTTTTACTTCAACTCACAACAAAACAGCAACATTATTCCTATCGGGCTGAACGGTAAAAAATGGGGCAGTTTGTTTTTTATTAGATTTTGAGATTTTTTGTTCTTACCAACAACAAGCAGGCTGCAACTCAAACGTAGCTTACATAAACCGACCTTAGCCTATTATTGTGGCAACGCGTTACCGCTCCTCTCTCATAACAGTACGCGCGGCGCCGTCAAGAACTTACAAGGAGAGGATACTTAGTCGAAAGCACCAATCCAGATGAGACATACATCTTCTTAAAGCGCTTGAAACGCTGATTCCAAATCTGCAGTTTCTAGCTGCGGAGCGGTTTCGTAGAGGGAGTTATGGGGGATGCTTCCTCTCGGGTTGAGGAGCCCCCCAACCAGGTCTCCCCCTACCTATGAGCACTGTAGAGGAGTACCAATTGGTGGCAACTGACCTAGTGGTAAGTGACGTGCTTGATAAAGAGAGTGTCAAGGTTTTAATCCCCTTCGCATGCTAAATTGAACTTCTAAATGGCTTTAGAGCCCTAAAGCATGAAACTTCTGATGATATTGATGCTAATCGAAGTTAGAAGTGTAAAAAGAAAACCAAAGTAATATGAGTATTATAATCTTTACTGTAGTGTAATGTAATTCAAGTTAACTACCATTAGGGATACTCCTCTACAGTGCTTACAGATGAGGGGAGACCGCTGGAGGGCGCCTACACCCCAGAGGGGAACACCCTTCATAACTACCTCTACAAAACCGCTCCGCAGCTAGAAACTGCAGATTTGGGATCAGCGTTTCAAGCGCTTTAAGACGATATATGTCTCATCTGAATGCTGCTTTCGACTAAATATCCTCTCCTTGTTAGACAGGGTTTTTTGAACACTTATCAATCTTGCGCTGCTATACCGTAAGGTCGTAAGCAAATGGCATACCATTCAAAAGAGCTTTTGTGCCCTTTCAATCGATTTGTTAAACACATGAGCTTCTTTTTGAATTCAAGAAAAATAGCGAAAAAACCTTAAAAAATGGCTATTTTTTGGCGCAATAAAAATCAAAAAATCACGTTTCACTCTATATATTCCGAAGATAGATAAAATGTGAGGTAAGCTGCATATGAATGGATGAAGCGTAAAAAGCTCTTCAGGTGGTATCTGGAAAACATGCGTTCACCTGTAAAGAATTGAATAGCACGTATCTTCGTTCTCAAAGCTGCTAATGGCCATATCTCCTGACTTTGTGAGTTGAGGCCACCAAGCCGTCGTGGGTTCGGTGACTATCCCACCACCCATTCCAGCATTGGTAGTTTGGGTGGTCTTACATGGTTCACTACGCAGAAACTGCGCGAAGTTCATGATTTGTCGAAGTGATTAAGTTTGCATTTCAGCAAATATAAAAATTATTAGTTAATCAAATGACCTTATAAAGGTATTTTCTGAAAGAGAATAACATATTCTAACATCTATCAAAATTGAAAATTCTAATCACTTCTCTTTCTTGAGAAACCTCCAGTCATTTCGTAAGTGCCCCATTTTTTACCTTCGCCCCAATAAAAATGAGCATCGCTTTCTTTACGTCATTTTTGTTTAGACATGTGTAAAATTGTCTCATACTTTTGAAAAGCAGTCTAATTTCTTTTTATGTTCAATCAACGGTTTCATTTTCTTCAATTCCCTTACCTTTATGGAGAAGAAAACCAATGTAGAACGAGCACTACTCCATAAAGCAAAGCAAGCTTAACAAAAAATGACTGCTGGTAAGCACTAATCGTAACACAGAAACTTTGAAACCAGCTAAGGCCCGTATGCACGTACATCCCCGCGGAAGGGAAGGGGATCTGAGAGGGGAAGCGCTGTATCTCGCTAGTTTATATATCTTTCTTCTTTTTTCTCTGTCTTGCTTTTGAAGGTTCTCATACAATGATACCTGCGCATAATGGGTGCCAGGTTACTACCATTACAGATTAGATATTTAATATTTTGTCTGATCCCCTGGGGATCCTCAGGGGATCACCTCACATTTTTAAAGTCATTTATCTTCCTGAAAACTCAATAAAATGCTGTAAAATTGTACTAAGGATATACTACAGCACTGCTAAACTTGTTTGTGGTAGAAGTGAGTGAAATTTGATATCAAAATCTTCGATGAACCGCTGCTCGCAAGCCAGGGATTATCGAAAAAATCGAAATCTTCAGATTCCATTTCTTCTGTCGAAAATATGCTCAGCAGTATCGTAGTATATCTTCAGTACATTTTGCAGCGTTTTCATTGAGTTTCCAGGAAGATAAATGACCTTGAAAATGTGAGGTGATCCCCTGGAAATCCCCAAGGAATCAGACGAAATAGTGACTATCTATCTTGTATGGCAGTAACCTGGCATCCGTTGTGCGCAGGTATCAGTGTAGGAGAACCTTCATAAGCAAGATAGAGAAAGAAGAAGAAAGATATGTAGACTAGCGAGATAGACGCTTCCCCTCTCAGATCCCCTCCCCTCCCCGCGGGGATGTACGTGCATACGGGCCTAAGAGTATTCAGTCGCAGAAAATTGCCCCCCCCCCCCCTCCTCCCGAAAATCCCACTTACTTACTTAGATGACTTGTCTTCACGTGACGTGGTGTTTCCTGTCCCTCGCTCCAGTCATCCACGATCTTCTTGGCTGCTGTCGGTGGCTGCGTCTACGAGTTCCAGGGGCGAAAGTCGTATCCAGCTGATTTCTCAGCTGGTCCATCCGTTCCACGAACACGTCTGTCCATCTCGTCGGTGGTCTTCCTCGAGGGAGTTTGGCTTCGCGAGGAATCCACTCAGATGTTCTTAGTGTCCATCCGTCGTCTGTTCTTCTCATTATGTGACCGGCCCATCGGTGTTTGGCTTTCGCAACGTATTCCGCCGGGTCACGACGGGACATTCTTCTCATATCCGTGCTGCGAAGTCCGACTAGATGCTGCTTGTGTCTGGCCATCTTCAGAAGAGCGCCGCTCTGTGAGTGGTCCGTAAAGCTTTCGACGTGGCTACAGTGTCGGCCCAAATCTCAGCTGCGTAAGGGAGAACGGTTGAGTCGGAGAGGTGGGCACGAAGCTCCGGGTCCGTCAGTTGGTCGGTGGCTTCCTTCAGAGGCCCGAAGGCGGCCCAGCTGCTCTTCTTCTCCTGTTAAGTTCTTCCCTCAAGTCGTTCTCCATGTTTATCGAACGTCCGAGATACACGTAAGAAGACATCTCCATGATAGGGATGCCTTCCAAATCCATTCCATTTCTGCATCTTCGCAAAGGGCGTTCCTCAACAACTGAGTCTTCTTCCAATTTATTCGCAGTCCGATCTTTTTCCCTACCTCGTTCAGTTCCTTCAGCATCGTCTCTGCTTCGGTGATACTGTGCTTGAGAAGAGAACGATGTCGTCCGCAAAACGAAGGTTGGACAGGAATCTCCCATCAACTCGCATACCCCTCTCGTCCCAGTACTGTGACTTCATCACCCACTGCAAGGCGGCAATGAACAGCTTCGGCGAGATTGTGTCGCCTTGTCTGACCATACCTTCCCGATTGGTATGGTCAGGGGGCGATGGAATAGCTGTATCGTCGTTGTACAGTCCTTGTAGCAGTCGGCTAACGTCCTCACGTAAGCTGGGTCCACTCCTTGATCGACTGGCGCAGGCAGGATGGCGTTGGTTTCGACGCTGTCAAAGGCTTTCTCGTAGTCGACGAAGGTTAGGACGAGAGGCAGTCGGTATTCCCGGCAGACTTCTATGACCCTCGAAACCGTCTGGATGTGGTTCATGCAGCTGAATCCTTTGCGAAATCCAGCTTGTTCTTGGGGTTGGGCTTCATCCAGTGTCCTAGATATGCGTGCGAGGATAATCTTCGTGAAGAGCTTGTACAGCACACTCAGCAGGCATATTGGACGATAGTTCCGAAGATCCTTCCTTTCACCCTTCTTGAAGAGAAGGACAGTTCTTGACGTTCTCCACTGGTCGGGCATCTTCCCCTTTTGGAGGTAAGATGTCAAATGCGACGCTAGAATCTCGTGTAGACGGTGTCCTCCGGCTCGCAGAAGTTCGACGGAAAGATGATCTGGTCCTGGAGCCGTAGACGTCTTCATGGGCTGTAACGCGATACGCACTTCAGCAGGTAGAATTTGTGGTGGTACTTCTCCAGTGGGAACAACGGGCATCTGCACGGGTGTTGATGAGCGGAAGAGGTTGGTGTAAAAGTTCTTCGCAATAGATTCCATCTTGTATCGGGAAGAAGTCGGAGTCCCGTCTTCGTTCAGTAGTGCAGCCAGCGGTAGGTGATATTCGCAGAGGTCCCTTCGGTACTTCTTGAGACTTCGTCTTCTTTCGGCTGCTTCCAGTATCTTGGCTTGCCTGTACTTCCTGAGATCCTCTTGCAAAGCTGTTCTGCAACTGGCGTTGGCTATCAGTCGCTCGAGATGGGTTGCATTCGGATCCTGCCTCAAAAATCTTCTTCTTTCGAGCAATTCCTCGGTGGTCTTCGAAATGCGTTCCAAGTTCTTCTCAGAAGTCACTGAGGCGCATTCTCCGCAGGCTCGCAATCCTTTCAGAAGCCGATCGTAGTCGTACGTTGGGTCATCCTCGATGGGCCAGTCACAACTTGATATGAGCTCTTCCAGCCTGTTACCGTCATAAACGACTTCCTTCCTTCTCGCGGCATTATGACAGACTTTCTTTTCCAGCCTTCGGCTGAGTCGTATCTTTTGCTCGAAGGAGGCGGTGATCGGAGCCACTACAGAAAGATGGAACTACAGAGACATCGAGTAAGCTCCACCTTCGGTTAGTGAGAATGTGGTCGATCTCAGCATGAGTCGTTCCGCTGGGCGATTCCCAAGTCCACCGGCGATGTTCTTTCTTCATGAAGATGGATTTTCCATGAAAAAGTCGTACGGCGGAGAGAAGCCCAATGAGAGGGTTGCCATCTTGTTCCGAAGCCCATATCCAAACTTTTCGATCCTATATTCCTTTTTCAGTGGCATTTCGATTTGCGTTGTAGTCGCCCACAACAAACAAAGGACTTCTCGCTGCGGGCGACCTCCTTCACATCTTCATAGAAAGCATCTAGTTTTGAATCGTCAGCTGCTGATGTTGGCGAGTAGCAGTTGATGATGCTGATGGTCTTCTGACGTGGAGGGCGTAGTCGTAGGATGCCTAGTCGAGCTGATAGGATCTCGTGCGAATCGACAAGATAGATGGGTGGACGACACGATAGATGGGTGGACGACAAAGCCGACGCCTCCCACGTTTCGTGATGGAACCTTTTCACCACGAATGATGAGGGTCCCATCACTCATCTGTCGCACGTCCTTCTTCCTGGACTTCGTTCTCTGCAGAGCGATGATGTGGTAGTTTATGTGCTCTGCAGCGTCGAGAAGAGCGTAGAAGTCGGCGTTTGTGGAGACTGTCCTGGCGTTGTAGGTGCAGAGCATGAGGCAGTCTCCATGGCGTGTCGTCCGGGCAGACGTGTCGTTTTTGTCCAATCCGAAAGGCGCCCTGAGTACCCTGACATCGTTCTTGCTACCACACGGCGCCGTAGGCGGGATACGATGTGCAGGGTTTCTTTCTAATCTTCTAACTGGAGGAGTAATATGAATTTTCCCCTACAAGAGGTGGCTTACTAGGCCTACTCTTGATTTCCACGGGGATCGCTGCCCCGGGCTTGGAGCGGGGAGGGACCGCCTAGCGACCAGAAGAAGCCAGACGGCGGGGGATCTGGCGTGGCCGGTTCTTAGCTAGGCATTCGGCCGAAACCGGAAACGTCGAACTCCTTCAGAGCTTGGGAGGCCCTATCAGAGTATACACTCGGCTGTGCATCGCAGTTCGACACCCAGTGTCACCCCCACGCCACGATGAGGCGACCGACCATTGTGGGGGGAAGTTGATGAAAACATCTCGAAATTGTACCATTGCCTAACCCAACAGTGCTAAGCATGTTTTTAAAAAGAACGAACGATGTATCGAAGTGATGGAAGTTGCAATGAAACAGAATTCAAAACTTGGGGCTTATCGAGAAACTTAATATTTCAATTCATTTGCTTTTTTCAGAAGTATGTTCAGCACCGTTAGGTTAGGATCATGAAAAGCTGGATGCGGCTCTACAACTTCTCGCTATCTTTCATCTTGTTCATAGTAGAATGTAATAGAAACATTTGAAAATGGACGGTATCAAATCCAGAACTCCATAGCTTGAAAATATGAAGCTTTCTTCTAGAGTGAGGATGTTAGTGCATGTGACCTTTAGTGTCCATCTGTTGTCTGTTCTTCTCATAATGTGACGGGCTCGATGCTTCGCTTTCGCAACTGTTCCGCCGGGTGAACATAAGGCATTCATCTTATATCCGTACTGCGAAGTCCGACTAGATGTTGCTTGTGTCGGGTCATCTTCAGAAGACTGCACTCTAGCGCTCTGTGGGTGGTCCGTAGAGCTTTCGACGTAGCTACAGTGTCGGCCCAATTCTTAGCTGCGTAGCAGAGCGCCGGGAGAACGGTAGAGTCGAAAAAGTGGGTTCGAGGCTCCGGGTCCGAAAGTTGATAAGTGACTTTCTTGAGATGCCCGAAGGCGGCCCAGGCTGCAACCCGAGGCAAGTCGTCCGCCGAGCGCACCATTTGCGCTGTCGCTTAGGCAGTGTCTTGATTGAACCACCAAAATCAGTATCCACGTGCGGTGTGTCCCCATGTGCGCGGATCTGCCAGAAGTGTGGAAGATTACTGCCTAAAAGATGCAGGTTAATTTTTGGTGTGGCTGTTACTGCATGAATCTAGCAAGTGTTAGATCTTTCCAAATAATCGTTCCGCAAACAGCGAACATCGTTAGATCAGCTTTCACATCGGGCATTCTGGTGCTTGATAATGCATTTGAAAGCCACGGCCTTTGAGTATCCCTCTCTTGAGCTACTGAAAGCTTAGCAAGTTTCTGACATACACTATTTGAGGATATTTTCCGCACCGTTGCCAGAACGATCGCCTGCCCAAACGCCTGTTGTTACAACGCCCAACGGGACGAAGCAACTTGTATTTATTGTGCCCAAACCACCGTCCTACAAAGTATGCCAATTTTTTATGAGTCATGAAATAAAGTGTACTACCTAACCATTTCAGGCAGAGCTGGCTCATAGCGTGGCTTCAGCTCAAACAAGCTGCTCGACCGCAAGTTCATATCTCCCAAATCAGTTGCCAGTTATGTTGAATCGTCGTTGCTCTGCGTGATAACATGTTTTCAAGTTGTATATATGTATGTTGTTATTGCTTGTTGACATGTTCTCAGTTCAACAGTGGCACTTTGTACGTATTAACATTTATATAGATGTTGCTTGAAGTTTGATTTATCGCTTAGTGCCTTTATTTTTCGGTGCAGTTCTATAGTGCTGGTCAAATTTGGTTTGGAAACCTCTAAGTTTTTTTAAAAGTAGATCTCCTTTCATTAATCGTGTGTAGAAGTGTGTAGATATTTAGACGCTACGCATTCGCAGAAAGATTTATTACACATATACATAAGTATCATCAAAAGTCACGTTATTCATGAAAGTATTACAAAAAATGACCAAAAAATAGCATTATAAGAGAGTTTGTAGCCGTTTCTTGATGAGAAGGTGATTAAAAACCCACCCCTTTTTTTATGATTAGTTTTGCTGTGATTAGAAAATTTTTTATGAGAGTTTTGAGAGACTCTTGCTAAAGGTGAGCAACACCGATATAGAAAGCTCGACCAGCGAGCCTATACCACCTCTTCTGAAGTGTTATTTGACCACAATTTTTACTATTGTCCGAGGCGTTGCTTGAGCAAGCCGCATATGGGCTTAAAAACGCGAGGGACTATTACACATTGTACAAAACATTATAATATCTATTTTTATAGGTACATTGCAGTGACAGACCGAGGGGGAGGGGCCTCCTTGAGAATGTATCGTGCAATTTTTGAGAATTACTTATATGGGTTATAAAAATGCGCAAGTAACTTGTTTATTCTTGTAAACAATTAGAATATTTTTTTTTAAATTTTCAAAATTCAAATTAGCCTTGTAAAAAAAATTATTTTCGTGGGGTGTGGCTGAGGCCACGCCCCCTTCTTCCAGATTTTGGGGGTTGGAGACCCACAAAAATTTGGAGCAGCACCGCAAAAAATTTTCGGAATGCGTGGCTGACGCCCGCACCTTCATTGGAAAAAAATTTTTGCCTCCAGTCCCTGGACGGAAATCCTGAGACCATCACTGGTACATTGCACAATTGTAATGTGCCATATGTAAAAAAAAGAAACTCATAAATGGAAAAGAGAGTAAGATATGAAGAATGTGTTTAGCATTGAGGAAAATCTAACTTTGGGTTTCATACCGCTAAATTTTTTTCTGTAGTCTGATGGTAACATAAATTATGCCTCTTACACATTATCAAGGGCTCCAGTCGCATTTATATCGACCAGCATAGATGGAGCTTTTGTTCTAAATAGCAGATTAGGATGCAGTACTCGATGTAAACAATCATTTTTAGTGGTTGCAGCCTATTCCATGGTCCACTTGTCGATCGATCCATCCATTCGTCCATCCATCGTCCATAAATACATCACACATACATACATTATAGTCGTCCTCACCCCACTAGTCGCTAGGTGGGCAGATTCGAATTCGAGTTTGAACACGCTGGTTGCGGTAGAGCGCGGCTTCATCGGCCTGCTTTTCAAACCTACGAATGCTTTCTTTTTGTTTTTTCGTCAATGTTTGTTATTTTCTGTGTGTTAACATTGTTCGTAGACTATTTTGTTTTGCAGTTGAGGCGATGCTTCATACTTTGTGCTCGTTTTCTCTGTTTTCAGGTGATGAGCGATTGGAATTGGGGACTTTTGCTCGAAAATTCCCTTTCGATGAATATTATATGCTGAATTAATGCTTTAGTGTTTTCTACGTCACAAAACCCCCATCAGCCTTCTTTGAGTGGGCTCACCTGAGATTGGATTCAAACGAGGCCAATGGTAAGAAACGTCGCTCAAAAACAACAAGACCATCAGTTTAGATCTTAAGCATTGTTAACACACAAGAAATAGCATGTAACGACAAAGAAAAACGGAGAAAGAACATACTTCAACTGGAACAGAGGGCTGAAGGTACCGCGGTCTACCGCAACTGGCGTGCTCAAATTCAAATTTGAATTTGCCCACCTAGCGACTAGTGGGGTGAGGACGACTATACGAACATATATGAGTTGATTCTTCCCTTCATTTCTCTGCGTTGAGAACGAAATGCAGATTGATATATAGATCGGAGCTATCAACGATATGTTATTGTAGCAGATCACAGGTGATGAAATGTTGAAATTCTTATGGTTTAGGGGGTATTAGACTGAGATGCTTGAACATTGTCAGCAGGAGATATGGAACTTGGTATGAAACCAAAGTCCAGAAAAAAAAACCAGTCATTTACGAGCAACATCACCCATCGAGGAAATGAAGATAGTTCGAAAGACGTAAATGATCTAGTCGACATTGATTACGTTTGAATATACAGGGTGGCCTAAATAATGTATCGAACGCTTGATCTTTGATAACTTCCTTATCTTTGATAATTTCTTTACGTGGAACGTTTTCGCCGATCTTTCGTGCCCTACGGTAGGGCTAGCTTCAACTTAGATTTACAGTATAGAAACAGTACGGATTTCTCTTAGTTACTGTAGGATCACGGTGGGGAAAAAATCCGAAGGACATCAAACTACGGTTTTCGGGAATGCTGAACCTTTACGAAGTTTTCCGCTACCGTACATCTCGGCTTTTTATGGTACGCGCACTGCAACGTTGAATTTTTGGCTTTTCTCCAGCATTTACCAAATCTGTCGCCGCATTACAAACACGTCGAAATCAAACAATCAAATCAAAATCAAATCATTAGGTGTGTTTAAAACCTGAATTTGTAATTTTTCACCCATTATTTGCAATTAATAAGAAATGAAGAAGTCTTTAAGGTTCAACTAAACTTTGCTTGACAAAGGCAACGTTGATTTAGTAAGTTTTGGAAAAAATTCAAAAAATTCAGCATTACAGTGCGCACACCGTAGGAAGCCGAGGATTACGGTAGCGAAACAGTTTGTATTTATAGGCTGCTGCATGACGAAGGCGCAATATCTTTGGGCGCGAACGCGGCTTCATTAGCCGCAGAGCGCATTAGGCGCAGGTTACAATGGTGAAGATACGCGCGCCGCGTTAGCGCCCTCTCAAATAATACTGCTTCTGCTCCTCCGTCATGCAGTAGCCCTTAGATTCCACGAAAACCTTAATTTGACGTCCTTCTGTTTTTTTTCGAGTTCTTTAGAAGCACTTCACGCAGAGGTGCGATAGTCGGAGCCGATTCTCCGCCTACCTTCACTTTGGGCTGGTACAGGGTGACCATCTTCACTTTCGGGTTTTGATTTTTTTTGCTGAAACTGAAAAAAGGAAATTAAGCAAAACGAACGCAAAAGAAAGTGTTGAGAGCATATTCTATGTAGCTTACTTTCAGAAAGTCGCGTCGCCCACTGCGAGCACCTGGAGGCCATCACGACATGGACGCATATACGCCTCAGCACTTTCTAGGATACAGCAAAGTTTCATGATGACTTCGGATAACTGAAGAGCTCTAACCCAACGGTTCTCTTTAGGGCCAATAATTATGACCCAACGGCCCTCTTTAGGGCCACAAATACGACGAGTACAACTGCATAAATATTTTAAATAAACGTGTTAATGAAATAGTGTATTTGAAGTGATACTCAGCTAGCCTTTATGTGTTGTATCAAGTACATTTTGTTATGACGTACTGCGAAAAAAGTAGGTCGATCCAGGCAGTAGCCGCCGAGAACCAGAATTTCAAATGATAAAATAATGAAAAATTATGCGATGATTCCATTGTTATAAATCTGCTGGTCGAAGATGTCAGCAATTGCGACTTCATAGATTTTGAAGGGTAGATGTTGTTCTACCAGACAGAGAAAGAATCAGCTTGATTTGAGAAGTGGCCGCTGCGAACGAGAATTTTGAAAAATCACGCGATTTTAGGTTCCTTAATGACAGCTGACATTTAAACTCTTATAAATCCGGACTTTGAAGGTGTGTGATGTTGCGACTTCATCGGTTCTGTAAAGTAAGGTTTGCCCTATTAGAATATGTCTTAACTGTACCGATCCACTGAAACATTGCCGAGATCCAGACTCTTTAATAAGCAGGTAAAAACCGTTTTTCAGCCCATAACTTCTTCAGAACTGCATGAATCATGTTGCGACTTCATAGATTAGATGCTCCTCTTCAAGAGCTTTCAGATGATATATAATATGTGGGGGATTCAATGTTTCTTGCGGCTCTAACCCGGAGTGGAGTACTTCTCTTCGCTAATTCTCCACTGGCGGCCTCCAGCCAATACATTGAAATGGGCGGGGTGGGAAATTAGTGAAGACAAGTACTCCACCCCGGGTTAGAGCCGCAAGAAACATTGAGTCCCCCACATATTATATATCGTCTGAAAGCTTTTGAAGAGGAGCATCTAATCTATGAAGTCGCAACATGATTCATGCAGTTCTGAAGAAGTTGTGGGCTAAAAACGGTTTTTACCTGCTTTTCCAAGAGCCTGGATCTCGGCGATGTTTCAGTGGATCGGTACATCTAAGACATATTCTGATAGGGCAAATCTCACACTACATAACCTATGAAGTCCCAACATCACACACCTTTAAAGTCCGGACTTATAAGAGTTTAAATGTCAGCTGTTATTAAGGAACCTAAAATCGCGTGATTCTTCAAAATTCTCGTTCTCAGCGGCCACTTCTCAAATCAAACTGATTCTTTCACTGTCTGGTAGAACAACACTTACCCTTCAAAACGCATGAAGTCGCAATTGCTGATGTCTTCAATTAGCAGATTTATAACAGTGGAATCATCGCACGATTTTTCATTATTTTAATATTCGAAATTCTGGTTCTCGGTGATTACTGCCTGGATCGACCTACTTTCTTCGCCGTACGTCAGAACAAAATGTACTTAATAAAACACATAAAGTCTAGCTGAGTATCACTCACAAATACACTATTTCATTAACACGTTTATTCAAAACAAGTATACCTGCGCCCCATAAATTCTAGCTCAAAATGTGCTCATAAAGTTTGTTTTTCTGCGAAAACAGCGCCAAAAGTGGTATCGCGTACATAGTCGATTTGGCAAGGTTTTACCTTGAAATTTGAAAAGATTTTTGCACGGAATTGTAGCTCAAAGTGACCACTGTCCTTATGATGACTACCAAGCCAAAACAAATTCACTAACCCATTCAAATTCGCATTCGTTCCTTTGCGAAAATTTTCTTCTCAAAATTACCAATCTTACGTGAAGATGCTTCAGAATGAACAGCTGTTTACAGTTTATTTGTAAGTAGTTGCCTTACTCGGCTCCGCC